ACAGATGAGCCTGAAAAGGAAAGTGATAGGCCAGGACCCTACTGTGAAAGAGTTTTCTGTAGGGAATGGAAAGCCACAGAGGGATTTGAAGTGGGTCCCTCACATCATTTGTGTTGTAGAGAAATAGCCCCAGTGCCATCTTCTCAGCTGGCTCCCTCGCTATCTTTACTCAGATTGCCTAGCAGGTACCCAGGTATGCCTCCAGCCCACAAAACATCATGTGTTAGGTTTATCACTGGCCAGTAAGAAATAGGGAACAGAGGGTTGAGTGCCTAAAGTGCAGCTAGGAGAAGCTAACTGGAAGACTGGTTGAGAAGCCCTGCACTGTGGAGAGCTGAGGAGAAAATGAGTATTCGGGGCAAACCCAGTTCAGAAAATGCTGGGCATGACAGCGAACTAGGGTTTAGTTCTCCACCTGGAAGCGGAACTCCAGCTGGAGCTGATGAATTGAACTCAGGAATCCGTTCCAGGAGCAGAGAAGGTATGTGCCTTGCTCTCCATGGAAGCTGGTAGGAACTGAGGGGCTTGCCTTGTGTGCTGTTAGGCCGGATGTACTGTGCTATGTGAGAAAGGTGCTCACTGCCCTCTGCCCTGAAGTTCCCCATTCTCAGATGATTTGGGCACCCTGAGAGGCTCACCAAGATAACATGTGGGGGAGGGTCACTGGTGTGGACCAACCAGGAGCAACAAGAGTCGTACCCCCCCGCATGCATTCCCAACTGTGGTCCAAGAATGCTCAATAAAAGACTTTCAACCATAGATTTGAGTGAAACATGTTTTCTTCATTTATTCAGTAAGTGTTTTTTTAGCTACTAATGCCAGAGATACAATACATTCATCGGCAAAAGGTGTAGATGGCTGATGGCAGGGAGGGAGTGGTTCAGACGTTGTTGTGTGTCACTAGGCCAGGAAGAGACATGTCTATCCCCTTCCCCCTGAAACATTGGCTGCTGCCCAGTTTCCTAAATGAATGTGCTTAAATGACGATTGTCTCAGTTTTCACTTAATCCCCGTTTCTTTACTTATTCTTTTTATGTGTGTCTTCGGTTCATGTACTCTCGCTCTCTGGGTGCGCTCAGGGGCTTATTATTGGGTGTTTCCATACAGAGCCCAGAACCACCCGTCCGGAAGTAAATAGAACTGTTAGTTGCATCTTAACCATCGAAACTAAGCTTATGACAGACCTGCCTGGAGCCCGCCTGTCCTTCCGATGGCCCTTTGTAAATCTTCCTTCCCAACAATCTTTCCTCTTACCATCCTGGCCTAGTACACAAATATAACCCACAACTCATATCCTGTAGCAGACTACAGCTCACATTAGCCATTGTATGCAAATGAGTATCAATCAAAGAAGAAAGGAAACTAAAGTACTCAGCTTGGCCTTAGAAGGCTCCATGACTCTCTTAGTTACTTGCTGCCCTTGGCATGCTGGTATTTTATGTGGGCAGGGTGAAACTGGCTGTGGTCAGGGTGAGAATTTAAGCTTTTGATTTGTTCCCTTATTTTGAAAGGGTTAAAAAGATGTTACATGTTTTGGTATAATTTTAGTACTAGTATTAATTTTTGTCACATACGTGTAAGTGAGGATGAAACGCGAGCGCTCATTCACTGTTACTAGATCCATATTCTTGCAGAGAGCATGTCTTCAAAAGGCAAGTTTCAACAACTTGCCACTGTGTGTTTACCCTCTTTTTTTTTTTTTTTAAAGATTTTATTTATTTGACAGAGAGAGATTACAAGTAGACAGAGAGGCAGGCAGAGGGGTGGGGGAAGCAGGCTCCCTGCAGAGCAGGGAGCCTGATGTGGGGCTCAATTCCAGGACCCTGAGATCATGACCTGAGCCGAAGGCAGAGGCTTAACCCACTGAGCCACCCAGGTGCCCCTTGTGTTTACCCTCTTAATTAAAAAAAATAACAGCTTTATTAAGTTATGTACTGTAAGTATACTCATATACTATCAGATTCATCTTTCTCAAATATACAACTCTGGATTTTCATATATCCACAGAGTTACACAGCTCTCACCACTATCTATGATGAGAACATTTTCTTCTCCCAAAAGAAGCCCTGTGTCCATTAGGAGTCGCTCCCTATTCCTCCATCCCCCCCAAGCCCCTGGCAACCAGTATTCTACTTTTTACCTCTATTGTTTTTTCTACAAATTTTTATTTAAATTCCAGTTAACATATAGTGTAATATTGGTTCCAGACATACAGTTTAGTGATTCATCACTTAAAATGTGCAGTTCTTATCACAACAACTGCCTTCCTTTTTTTTTTTTTTTAATTTATTTGACAGAGATCACAAGTAGGCAGAGAGGCAGGCAGAGAGAGAGGAGGAAGCAGGCTCCCCACTGAGCAGAGAGCCCGATGCGGGGCTTGATCCCAAGACCCTGAGATCATGACCTGAGCCGAGGGCAGAGACTTAACCCTCTGAGCCACCCAGGCGCCCCAACAAGTGCCTTCCTTAATGCCCATCACCCTTCTGGTCCACTCCCCACTCCCAGCCCCTCCATCAACCCTCAGGTTGTTCTCTGTAGTTAAGAGTCTCTTACGGGTTGCTTCTCTCTTTTTTTCCCTCCCCATGTTCATCTGTTTTGCTGAAAATGGCAAGATTCCATTCTTTTTGATGGCTGAGTAATATTCCATTATGTATCATTTGTGTGTGTGTGTGTGTGTGTGTTTGTGTGTGTGTGTATAAAATCTTTCACAGCCTAGTGTTTGTAAGACTCATCCGTATTATAGTGTGTATCGGTACTTCATTTCTTTTTACTGCCAAGTAGTATTTTGTTGCATAGGAATACCACACTTTGTTTATTCTTTGATCAGTTGATTGTCTTTTGGGTTGTTTCTACTCTTTTGCTATTATGGATAATGTTGTGATGAACATCGGTATAGAGTATTTTGTGCGGATATAAGTTTTCAGTTTTCTTGGGTAGATACCTAGGATTAAATTTGCTAGGTCGTATAGTAACTCTGTTTAACCTTTTGAGAAACTGTCATACTGTTTTCTGAAGGGGCTGCACCATTTCCCTATCACACCAGCAATATATGAGGGGTCCAACTTTTCTACATCTTCGCCAATATTTGTTAACATCTGTCTTTTTAAGTTTAGTTCTTTAATTTTTAAAAACATTTTCTCATTTATGCACATGGTCACAGACTTAACATGGAAAGCCAACAGTCTTCTGTCTTGCTTTCACCAATCCTTATTCCAAGTCTTATTCTCAAACCACCTTCCCTTTTTTGTTTGTAGTTTTTATGGTGGCTACTAGCCTAATTCCAAAGCTAAGATTTCTCAATTCACTTACTATGGGTTTCTCCCCCCCCCCAACACTTGTCGTCATGAAAACTTAAAAACGTGCATAAAAGCAGGGTAGTACAATTAGCTCCCATGTACCCATCCCCAGCTACCACAGCCATCATCTAATGACCACTCTTTCCAACTAGTTTTTGATTTTCCAACGTTAGATATTATGTGTTTAAATTTACCTATTGAAAAGTGAGGGTTTATCTCATTTATCCTACCCCTTCCAAATTTTTTATACTAAATTATTTTTAGGCCTTGTATTACCTGTGGATTTTTGAATACTTAAATCACTTGTTCCTACTCCATCACCCTTAGACAGTGTTGTTCAACTAATCCCTTCCCCAAGTGAGCTGGGGGTATTAGTGCCCTAACTTTCTTTTCTTCTGCTTTTACCTGTCAACCTTTTTCAGCTGTACTTTTTTTTTTTTTTTATAGAGCCTTTTGATTTTTTTATTACTCAAAAATCTTTATTTTTTTTATTTAGCTTTCTGACTCTGTGCTTGTGCTTTCAACACTTTGACAACGATTTTCTGTCCCTCGATAATTAAAGCACGCTTGATCCTGTCATGAACACATTTAGCACACATGGAACCACCATAGGCCCTGCTGACATGTTTTTTCGTTTTTTTGTTTGTTTGTTTTAAAGATTTTATTTATTTATTTGACAGACGGAGATCACAGGTAGGCAGAGAGGCAGGCAGAGAGAGAGAGAAAGGGAAGCAGGCTCCCCACTGAGCAGAGAGCCCAATGTGGGGCCTCGATCCCAAGACCTTGGGATCATGACCTGAGCCAAAGGCAGAGGCTTTAACCCACTGAGCCACCCAGGTGCCCCTGTTTTTTCGCTTTATACAATCTCATAAGGACTTTAAGTTCTCTCTGCTTGAACTCCTCAAAGTCAGTCTGGGCCCACACCACATGCAGATTTGGTGCTTTCCCAACTTTCTTGTTCTAAAGGTAAACAATTCTATTACCAGAGGTTTGGGACAGCCCAGTTTTGGTAGAGACTGTATTGTAGGACAACCTACGATGACCTGTCAAACGCTGGACCGTTGTGAATGCCTACAGATGCTGTCCCCGGAAGAGGCAGCTGGACCTTCTATAGGATCAGGTTGATAGCATTCACAGTCTTCTATAATTACAGCAGGTTGTCTGTGCTTTGTCTACTTGTTGGTTCTAAGACTTGAAAATCAAGGGAATTTACATTATCAGGACTTTAAATCTTGTTCAGTGCAGAGCCGTGTAGTGTGCTGGAGTTCCATTCCCCACTGCACAGACTCAGTGTGACAGCTATGGGCCAGTGGGGGAGGATTGTTCTAGGCATCTAGTTAACAGCTTTTTTTTATTCAGCATTAGTGGGTAGTTAGTGGTACTCATGGACCCAGTGTGCATGCTCTCCTATCATGTATGTCCTGTGTGACCTCATATTCTCTAATCATTTTGTGCATTACATCCCCATCTGGAAGGGGAACTCCTTGAGAGGGGAACAGTCTTTCTTCTTTTACTTCTATACCAATTTTAGTCTCCTAGTAAATTAAATTGGTTTCCCCAAAAGTTGTCCAGTAAATAGAGCCGATGCCGTTGAAGTGACATCCATGCTGTTAGATTCTGCATATACTTTATTTTATAATTTATAAATATATAAATATTTTAAAAATAAAGCTATTAAAAACTCATAAATTAAAATATTCAGCTTCAGTGCCTGTAGTATTTCTGTTGCATGATCACTTTTAGCCTTTCCAAGAAGTCTTTCAGTGTACTCTTCTTGACTTCATTCACCGAACAGGTCTGCAAAGGAAACATTTCATTAGCTTTTATTGCTAAGTCACTGAGTCTGTCTTTCATGCCTGTCCACTTGAGTCAGGTCCTCTCTGACACTTGCCACCCAGACAGTTCGTTCAAACAAGCAGGGCCTCCGGTCTAGTCTGATTGGGAGTCTGTCTCTGCAATGAGGCCAGCACAGTTTGCTCGTCTTCTATGCATGCTAATAAACCCCTAGAAATGGTCACTAACTGTGTACCTTTGGGGGTGCCGCAGACTGGAGAGGTGTGCCATAGCTAGCTTCTGCCTAGGGATCTAACATGAGGGGGAGGCTCAGACCTGCCTACTGCCATACTAGGCCTTCTGCGTGGCCACCTGGACTGCGGAGAGAGAGATTCATTCCATTAGCCCTCCTGCCCATAAAGAGCAGTCCTCCAGCTTGACAGCACCTTGGGTAAAAAGGATTCCAGCTACCTACCCCAGGTCACTGCTTTAGTCTGGACCTCAGCTCTGTCAGTTTATTAATTACATTGCTTAGGATGAACTACTTCATTTATAAAAGCTTCACTTTCTTCTCTTGGTAAATGGGGACAATTGTGCCTACTTTATAGGATAAGTAAAAGAATTAAACAGAACAAGTGCAGTGTCAGATCCCTATTCCTTTACCTTCCCTTAGAAATCGGGTGACAGGCTCAGCAAGGGGATGAATTTTCCCAGTTCTTCCACTTGGCACTAGATAACATCCATTCTGGGCTCTTCTTCTTTCCTACACTATCAATTGTTCCCTCCCTACTGGACCATTCCCCGGTGTATTAACATGCTGGATACATGCCCCACCTCAAAAGAACTTCCTTATTCACTCCTGTTCTTCATCTCTTATTCTGTTTCTCTGCAGTCTAATAGCAAAACACCTCAAAAGAGTTTTCTGTACTCACTGCCCCTTTCTTTTCACTCCCCACTGGTATTCTCTGTGGAACCTGTTCCAGTCAGGCTATCATTCCAGATCCTGTGGCCATTCTCATCTTCATCTGATCTGACCTTCCGATACCTGTGACACACTGGATCTCTCCTTACTAAGAGCTTCTTCACTTGCTATCTGGGGCACTACATACCCTTCGGTTTCCTCCTACCTCACTGGCTACTTCTCAGTCTCTTTTACTGGACCTCTTCTTCCTAACCCCTGTGAGAGTGCTTCTGGGCTCAGTCCTCAGTCCTTGAATTGCTCTATGTCATTCAGATCTAGGACTTTAAATAACGTCTTTCTGAGGACTCTTCATTTTATATCACAAGTTCTGACCTCTCCCCAAAGGCTCAGACTTTTCCTACAATCTCAGCATCTCCCCTTGGCTATCCAAGAGGTACCTCAAACTTAGCATTGATAAATTGAACTCCTGATCTTGTGCTCAACCTCCAGCTCTGCTTTGCACCCAGTTTTCTAGGCACCAACCATCTCCCAAAAGACTCGGGCTAGGAACCGAGAGGCCACCTTTTACTCATTCCCTCACCCCTCACAGTGGGTCTTCTGGCTCTATGTATAGTTACATCCCAAATCTAATATTTATTGCTCCCAGTCTGTTGAAATCACTATTACCTCCAACCTGGATTACTGTGATGGCCTCCCAGTAGGGTAGTTTGCTTCTGTGCTTAGCCCTAGTCAATTTGTTTACCACACAGCAGCCAGAGTGATCATTTTAAATTACATAAATCAGACTGTAGTCTCTGTTCTGCTCAAACCCTGTGGGTGAATCCTGCCACACTTAGGGTAAAAACCAGAGACCATGTGTGATCTACTAAAATCCTGTTTGTTCAGTCTGATACAGCCACCCTGGCTTTCCTACTGATCTTTGAACATGTGAACTTCATTTCTACCTCAGGGCCTTCACGCAGCAATTTCCTCTGCCTGGAATGTTCTTTTCCCAGTTAGTCATGTAGCCTGCTCCTTCACTTAATTCAAATATTTGCTCAGATAATGTCACCAACTGTCAGCCCTCTCCCTCATGACCCCTATATTCTTTATTCCTTTATTTTTCTTCATAGCACTTATCACTACTGGACATAATACTACATGTTTGTTTGCTTTTCTAACTCCCCCACTAGAACATTCTGTGAGAGCAGGCTCTGTATCCCTAGTGTCTAGAACAGCACCTTGCACTCATTGTCAAGGCAACAAGTGGGTTAATTAATCAAGGGCATTAAGACTCTTAAGGAGGACCGGTTAGAAGTTAGGCTGCTGTCTGTCAAGAGCCAAGTGGTTGGCATGATTGAGCTTACCGTGTTTGCCATGTTCCTGAGGTTCCTGTGAAGTCCTCTGAGCAATCTGTTGGAGCAATTGTGTGTAGAGAGCTGATGAAGCACAGTTGCAGCTCTGCAGAAGATTTCCTTCTCACTTGTGTTCTAGAAAGAGAAATGCCACAGTTAGCTATATGCCAGCTCTATCTGGAACATGACTGTTTTCCCTGTGATTGCTTCTTTTCAGGAGGGCAAGTAGAGAAAGTGAGTTTTCTCACTGTGGACCAGGTATTCAGATATTCCCTTCATGTGAATGAAGGCTGCTGGCCTCAGTAAACCACCCCTTCCCATTACCTACAAATGCAGCAAACTTCTCTTTTCCCTTAGATGGTTATGCTGAAAGGCTACCTAAGTAAAGGCACTCAGCTTAGTAAATGACAGAGTGGGGGGTTTAAGTCCAGAACCATCCGTCTCTGCCCATGATCTAGGTCTGTTTCTCTCTACCAGGCAAGCCTATATTAGCTTGCCATCAGATTGTGCTCTGTCTCATTGCTGTAAGGTTTTAAAGTCCAGGTTTCCATGGAAATCCTATATGCTTATTGAATAAATGAGTGCCCATCCTGTGGCCTGGATGTTGGTGCTTTGAGGCGTGCTCTCCATTTAGCCTACCCCATGGTGGGAGATGGCAGCGTGTGCAAAGCTCAGAGTCCATGTAAGGAGAGGAGACATCTGCCCATAGAGCTGGAGAGGTGTGCCAAGATTAGGGCTAGGTGCAAGATCAGAGGAAACTTCTGGGAAAGGGTGCGATTGAGCTGGACTATGGACACAGCTTCTGGAAGAGGCCTTTGGCCTAGGAAGTGCAATGGAAGAACCTCTATGGAATGGTGGCAGCCCAGATATGTGTTTGGCCACATGGCTCTTCCTCTCTTAGAAGAGGGAATGTACAGGTGGGAAAACAGCTCTTTTGGGAACCTGGGAGAGGTATTATGACTCAGTCTGAATCAGGCCTGGTGTGTCCTCTCACTTTGCACTGAAGAACAAAGTCATGGAGTGTGGAGAGTGATCTTAGCTTGAGCCTGATCCAGCTCAGATCAAGCTGTCTCCAGCCTCTGTGAGGACATGCTTTAGTCCCTTGCCACCCAAAGTGTGGTCCAGGAAGCAGCAGCACGGACATCACCTGGGAGCTTGTTAGAAATGCAGAATCACATGCCTGCCCCCAGACCCCCTGAGTCACAATGTACATTAACATAAACCAACAGGGGATTTAGATGAGAAGTACTGTCGGGGCAATTTTTAAAGTTCTGGCATATTTTTTTTCTGATTATTGAAGTAATATATGTTTACTGCAAAGATAATATGTATTCAGCAAAAATGCATGCTCTCAATCCCAACAGCCAGAGATAAATGTTGATATCTTGATAAATATCTTCCCATTTAAAAAATACTTCTTTAAAAAAATGAGGACCAACTGTTGATATGTTTTTTTAGCCTTTTAACACAATACATAGTACAAGCGTTAAGTCATTGAGTAGTATATAAGAACACGGGATTGAGAGCTGCATGGGAGCCCACGCGGCATATTTGTACCACAATTGGGTAGTAAAGTAAAGTGGCAGTGAGTCATTTGTGTAAATCTTTGTGTTCATCTCTAATTTCTTTAGGCTAAATTCTAGAAGTGCATTTTATATTTTAGGGGTTTTTCCAGGAAGATCTAGACCTAGACTGAGGTACTAGAACCCTAGGCTACAAAAACTTCCCTGTTCCCTTGTGGGCCTTGGCAAGGCCTTTGGAAGGACATGCACTTAATGAACCAGCTAAGAGCTCTCCTGGGCTCTGATTGTAGTTGGAAGTTTAAGAGCAACACCAGTGTCTTGGCTGTGAGAGTCAAGAAACTCCCATCAGTCTCCATATCTTTGGAGCTTAATGGGTGAGTAGAGGTGGTGAAGCCAAGCGGGAAGGCAGACACTAGCTGGCTGTGCACATCTAGGCAGGTAACTGTGCTGCTGGAGAGAGAACAATGAGGTTCAAGAAGACCAAAAATAGCCCCTTTGCTTATTTTTTCATCAAAATCTCATGCGACTTTTCTGAAACTTTGGCTTGGAGCCTAGAAATTAAACTGCCTCAGTTTTGAGTATATGGCCTTATAATACAGGAAAACACCCTCTAGACAGATTCTTCTAAGGTGTTTCTAAAGGCAATTAGGATAAAATAGGAATTGAAAAGAGTTTGAATCAAATGGAAAAAAACTTTAAAAGAACGAACTCTCCAGGCAGTTTTTGTGAAGAATTTAAAGTTTTAGTTCCATTGGAATTGCAGCTACAGGGTCCTGCACCGTACCGATGGCTGCCAGTCTGCTTGTCCAGCTTTCACTGCGCGAGGGTGTCCTTGCTCGGGCGCACACTCTGATGGCCTAGGGGACCTTGCAGTTAAGGGTTGCTGGGGAAAAGGGACTGAAAAGGGGAACTTAGGCTTATGCTAGAAAGAAGCCCATTTATCAAGGTAACATCGGCAAAGGGTAGAACAGCATCTAGGGCTTCTCCTGTGGCAGAGACGCTGTTAGATTTCTAACATGGTTCTTGACTAGCTTCACTTAGGGCCATAAACATCTAGTCCTCACCATCTTGTACTCATTATCCCCACCTCAGCCCAAATTTAGTGAGCTAGTGCTATACATGAGAAAGTCTTTTACTTCTACTTAGGAAAAAAAAAAAAAAAAAGAATTTGAGGGTTGGCAAAGAACTCTGAGGGATCATGATTCGAGCTCTCTTTCGAAAGGTAGAAATACCTCCCACTAATGGTCCACCTAAGAAATCCGTCATGGACCAGCCAGCTTGCTTGTTTTCCACTTTGCTCTTTCTCAGACCACCTTAGTTTCAGAGATACTGGGCAAGCATTGCCTGTGAAGTCCAGGACTCAGATCCTCACTGTCTCCAGCAACTGCCAAGAACAGGATCCCACCTGACTTGGAGGTAATAGAATTCTTGATCCCCGCAAAGAAAGAAAATTGATACATTGGATTTTGGAAAGGTGTCCTTCTTTGGGAACACAAGGAAGTAACTTTTCCTGCCACATAACCTCCTTGGTGGGTTTTGAAAATAACAGCCTTTCCTTTTTCTGTAACAACTGTAATATTCCTTATACTGTAATATCTTCCTTTATTCTGTAATATCTTGGAGGGAAGGAAAGAATGGAAGGAGATTGGTAATTCAGGAGGAATAGAAGCAGTTTGAGGAAGGCCAGTGAGACAGGAGGAAAGAAGGACTGCGAGGACTTGCTTCAGCAGATGCCTACCCATGCAGTGAGAGCCGATGTGATAACTGATGAAGAGGATGGCCATGAACAACAGAAAGGGGGTGCGGCCTGGCCTGCACCTTGGTGAGGATGAGTCTTCTAGAATTGGCCCAGACTGGAGTCACAGAGAGTTGGATCCTTTCTAGCCACCGGTCCCTTCTTAGAATTACTGCTCCTCTATAACCAGTTTTTGCCTTTAACCAAGAGTTATATCATTTTACAGTAACACTTTCCACTAACTCAAGAACTGGATTCCAACAACTTTAAAAATCACTTTCATATCTTCATATTTGGAAACTGAGGCACAAGGAGATACGGAGACTGGCCAAAGGCCACATAGCTAGTTAATGGCATAACTGTGGCTAAAGCCACAAACTATGTCACTTCAAGACACTTGGCACTTTGGGGCCCAGCCTTTGGCTTTGATAGAGCCCTCTCAGCAGCATGGTGCCATCTGGAGAAGCCAGGGCACAGCCCAGTGGACTCCTGGCTGTTTGCTATGTATATAAAATGTTAATAGATTATATTTATATATTATATAATTCTATGTGTATATATAATCTCCAAATCCTTCCAGCCTCCTGATGGACAGAGTCTGAAACAGGATGAGATTCTAAAGGATAAAATTATATAATATGTATTATTAAAGAATATGGTACATTATGTATTAATATTACATAATATATATGATTGTATTATGATATTACATAGTATTATCTATAGGATTCCTGGACTCATCTTTAATGAGATGGTCCAGACAAAGCCCAAGGAACAGTTTTCCTCACAAAGTAGGACGGATGTGTTCTGTGGTCCCGGTGCTGGCATGTGGCTGTGCTAACCTGCGCAGCTGCCCCCCGGCCACCCTGTCCCTGCTGTCCGCGTGGAAAGCAGGCGGTTAGAAGACCACTGGCAAATTGAAGCTTTGGGTTTTTCATTCTCAGTCTTGTGTTTCCATGAAAACAGGAACTGATGTGCACAAACCTATTGACATGGCTGTAGTCATATGTTTGTCAGAGAAAATGCACTATCAGCTGTCAAATCTGTCTCCTCCCACTAAAGATAGAGGGGCGGGGGTGAGACGGTGCAAGAGGAGGAAAGGCGAGATGCCCAAGCAGCCAGGGCCAGGGATGTGTGGGACCCCACATGGTAGGGCAGTTCCGGACCAAGCTGGAAAGGGCTTGGCAGGACATTGCAGCCGAGGGTCTCTGGAGAGCCGCCCCCCAAGCTAGTGGGTTGTTAGGTGACCAGGCTGCGGAAAAGGAGGGGCTCTGGCGATACCTTCTCTGTTGCCATAGGAAGTCTCTTAGACAAAATGAAAGCTCCCTCGACCTGTAATCTCCATATCTCTTTTTGTGACACCATTTGGTTTTTCAGAAATGTGCGGGCCAGAAAAACTTTCCTTCAACAAGCATTTATTGAGCACCTCCTGTATTCCAGGTACTAGGCTGGGATATAGGAGGAAAAGAGGACCTGTTCCTTGACCAGGATTTGAATTAGGATCACAAAAATCCAAGCTTTCCATTACATATCTTCTAAATCAAGTGAAACCAGAAACACTAAAACATGCTTGGGAGTAAAGATCAGAATTCTCATTCTTAAAAACATCTAACACCCTGTAGTTAGTTTGGGTCTGTTCACTTTCTGTTAAAAAAGTTTCTTGTTTGAACACCTGTGGATGGCTTTCCTCTCCCAAGCCACTCACATGCCAAAGCAGACCCCGGAACAGCTCTTACCTTTGGGGCAGTGAAGACTTCGGTGACGGTCAGCTCCATGCAAGAGTCCTGGCCCAGAACGAGAGGGCAAGAGACAGAGTCACTTCCAACTGTGTAGGGACATCCTGGCCGGGCGGCCCTCCTTCCTCGAACCAAGCCAACTTACTACCATCCCTCAGGACAAAAAAGCTCCTGCAGAGAAATCTCCACTCTGCTCCCTGGCTGTCACCAACCACCAACCACCAACTTCTCTGGACACTGTGGTGCTCTTCTCATAGTCTAAGAAGTACCCACGGCATCTCCAGAACATCTGGAGAGATGGTGCCTGATAGCTTACTCACGTTTCTCGCTGTGAGGATGTTCAACGTTTTGATGATCTCCTTAATGGCAATACTGAAGTTATGTCCGTGGATGAAAGTGCTGGTTAGTGCTAGTAAGCAGACCAGAGTTGGAATCAGTTGGGAGGTGAGACCCATTAATAGATCTCTGTTTGCAATGACAATATGAGACAAATCAGTTTACTAGGAGAGGCTCACAATGCAATTCTGACAAAGATATCTCTATATATAGATTTAAAATTGCTGAAACTGAGGGAAAATGAGGGAAATTGGAAATTTTCGTTACACCAGGTTGTCAGTCATTTGGGGCCAATCAGCACCTCTCTTCCAGGAGAAAAAATACCTCACAGAAACAGGTAAAATGTTCCTGTGAAATCATACCAATAGGAAAATGAAACCTTTTTTTTTAAATTAACTACAAAGTATCAGCATAGGAAATTACACCATAATTTGTTCTTTAGATTAATCTTATCAGCTTGGGGTTGCTGCTGGCTTTTTGTTTGCATAGAAGGAAGAGGCCACAGGTGTCCGAATTTGTTTTAGTGCAGTCCTCCTGGGGAAAGATAGAGTAATAACAAGAAAGTTTGACTTGAATAGTGTTTCAGCTTGGCTTCTTCCAAGTATGGGTGGCATCTTGGAAACTCTCCTCTTGTGGAAAAGCTGACCTGGGGTTCTTTCTCTAGGTAGAAGGAGAGTAATTGGCACAGACTCTCTCCTATCCCAGCACTCAGGCATGCCATTACTTCAGGTTTAGGACTTTGGCAAAAGACTGATGCCATCACGCGGGACTTAGTCGGGGTCACTTCGGACCCACAGGTCCTTAGCAACGCAGGGGCCCTCGGCAAAGCCTGTCTATCTCAATGTGTCAGGAATGACCACTTTGTAAATGGAATTTAAATCCATCCTCAGCTAATTGGAAAAAGAACCATAATCTTCCTGGTTTACAAATTGGTTGTCTTTGTCAGCGGCCCACAACCAGCCCTGCTGCCTTAGTCTAATTCCTGTGGCCCCTGCTGCTCTCTCAGGTGGAGCAGGATTCCTGTGGCCCAGCAGCACTCAGCTTTTTTCCTCTCTATCCCGTCCACTCTCTTCCCCTGCTTTCTGACCTCCTCTCCCTACTGATTTCCTCAGGTCACATAGAAAAGATTACTGCTAAGTGGTTCCTGAACTTTGGATCTTTTACAGTGCCTTGCGCTCTGTGAAGGACAGGATCCAGGTAAGTGTATGAGGAAGGCCCTGTGACTATATTTTGGATCCTTCTGCTGGACTGTGGCTCGAGTTTGCCAAACTCAGTGCAATGACTTCTAACGCTGACTATTCGGAATTGGGTTATATTTAAGGTTAAGTGCATGACCTCCACGAGACGGCCCTCACTTAGGACATGCGCTGCAAATTTCAAGGGTTCCCAGTCTGACCTCACTTTTGGCCTGTTGGCTACAAATTCTAAAGTTTATCCTACTTTTTCAGGTTCTGTAATTCGCTGGAGTGACCCACAGAACTCAGGAAACCACTAGACATAGGGTTAAAGCTGTGTTACAACAAAAAGATACCAGTACCACCAAGGCAACAGAACAGACAGAGGGTGAGGGCTAGGAGGGTCCCAAACATGAAGCTTCCTCTGTTTTCTCCCCATCGAGTCAGAATGTGCCACCTCCCTGGCACCTGATGGGTGATGACTCTCAGAGGACTCCCAAGCAGGGCAGCTCACCTGAACTTGGATGTCCAGAGTTTCACCGGTGTGTTGTCCTGTAGGTGTGATTGACTGGGTTACTGGCCCTGCAGGTGACAACACTGTGGACTACTGGTGATGCTGGTCCCCACCCTGAGTTGCCTAATTAACATAAACTCTCAGGGCCGGACACTCTTATGACTTGGGAAGTCCCAAGGATTTTGGGCTCCTTCCCAGGAACTGGTAACAAAGGCCAACCAAATTCTTTATTCTAGGGGTTTAGAAGAGCTGGGACAAAGGCCAGATCTCTCTGGGTAAGTTTTTTGTTTTGTTTTGTTTTGAGAGAACATGTGGTGGAGGGAGGGGTACAGAGACAGGGAGAGAGAGAATCTTAAGTGTACTCCTTACTCAGTGCAGAGCCCAACGTGGGGCTCTATCTCACAACCCTGGAATCAAGAGTTGGACACTTAATCAACTGAGCCACCCAGGTGCCAATAAGTTCTCTCTCTCTCTCTCTCTCTCTCTTTTTTTTTTTTTTTTTTTTTTAGATTTTTAATTTACTTGTTTGAGATAGGGAGAAAGAGAGAGATCATGAGCAGGGGAGAGATGCAGAGGGAAAGGGAGAAGCAGACTCACCGAGCCGGGAGCCCAACCTGAGCCGAAGGCAGATGTTTTACCAACTGAGCCACCCAGGCACCCCAGTGTTTTGTTTTGTTTTCTTTTTAATTTGTGAATAGGTATTTCTTTTTTTCTCAGTTTTATTGAGATATTATTGACATATAACACTTATGGGTCTAAGGTGTACAGCATAACGATTTAACTTACATATATCGTGAAATGTTTACTGTATAGTAAGTTTAGTTAACATCCATCATCTCATTTATATACAACTAAAAAAAGGAAAATGTTTTTTCTTTGATGAGAAGTCTTAGGATTTACTCTAACAATTTTCAAATATGCCATACAGCAGTGTTAATTACAGATGTTGTACATTACATCCCCTGTACTTATTCATCTTATAACTGGAAGTTTGTACCTCTCGACCACTGTCGTCCCATTCCCCCTTCCTCTACCCCCTGTGGTGACCACAAATCTCATCTCTTTTTCTATGAATTTGGTTTTGTGTGTGTGTTTTAGATTCCACATATAAATAAGATCAGACAGTATGGTCTTTCTCTAACATTTTACTTAGCATAATGCCTTCAGGATTTATTCCTGTTGTTTCACATGGCAGGATTTCCTTCTTTTTATGGCCAAATGATATTTCTCTGGGTGTGTGCATGTGTGTGTGTGTCTGTGTGTATATATATATATACACACACACATATATATATGAGATATACAAATCACAAATTGTCTATTCATTCATCCATCAGTGGACACTTAGGATATTTCCATGTCTTGATGTATTATAAATAAGCTTGCTATGAACATAGGAGTTCATACCTATCTTCAATGGAATGTTTTCATTTCCTTTGGATGTATTTCCAGAAATAGAATTATTGTATCATGTGGCATTTGTATTTGTATTTTTAATTTTTTGAGGATTTTTCATATTGTCTTCCACAGTGGCTGCACCAGTTTGCATCCCCACCAACAGTAAAAAAGGGTTCCTTTTTCTCCAGGTCTTCATCAACACTTGTTGTTTCTTGCATTTTTGATAATAATCATCTAAGAGGGGTGAAGTGATACCTAATTGTGGTTTCAATTTGCATTTCCCTGATGATTAGTGATGATGAACATCTTTTCATGTGTCTGTTGGCCATTCACGTATCTTTGGAAAAATAGCCGTTTGGCTCCTTTGCTCATTTTTTACTTGGGTTATTTTTTTCTTTGCCAGGGTAAGTGAGGTCTTCACTACAGAGATGGGGAGACAGAGTTCCTTCCAGGATAGGTGGAGACTTCAACTTCACATTAACTATTATTTGGAGTAAATAGTGCATACTCTGTTTTTGAGGGAAGGTCCAAGTTCTTGAGGAATTTAAAACCTTGAAGTGTAGGAGCACCTGGGTGGCTCAGTGGGTTAAGCCTCTTCCTTTGGCTCAGGTCATGATCTCAGGGTCCTGGGATCAAGCCACGCATTGGGCTCTCTGCTCAGCAGGGAGCCTGTTTCCCCCTCTCTCTCTGCCTACTTTTGATCTCTGTCTGTCAAATAAATAAATAAATAAATAAATAAATAAATATTTAAAAAGAAAACCTTGAAGTGCACACATCCCAGAGGGAAGTCCAGGGTGCAGAGCACATTTCTCAGAGCTTTGGGGCTGAGGGAGAGCTGGAGACGAGGGGAGGTCAGCAGGATTCAAAGCTGTCCATGTATTCAGTAGTTGTTTTTCTGAGTGCATGTCTTCGCTGAGGGCTACACCCCAGGTTTAATGTTGTGGGGGCAGAGATGTAAATCAGAAGAGTGTGTAATACAAAAGGAAGTAGCTCAAAAGCAGAATAAATCTTCTTTGTTTTGTTTTGTTTCAGTGGTTGGATAAGGGCAGGGAAAGAATGGTAAACTTTCCAGAACATCAAAGAGTGACCTGAAGGTCTCCTTAAAGGATAGGAGAAAAGGACCTGTCATCCCTGCAATGTGGCCCCATGGAAGCTGTGCCTGTGGCTGGCTGGACAGAGGCCTGGGAGATGGGGCCTTCTTATCAGGGATGAGGATAGCCAACCCCCACGTCTCCCAGCCTTCAGGGGTTATGGGTGGTGATTGTATAAGGCAGGCGGGCCAGCACCAAAGCTCAGGGAGAAGCTGATAGCTCTGCTGGGTTCTGACTGTGTCCGTCATAGACACCCTTCCCTTCAGCCTGTGTGAGCACTGAGAACCAGCCCTGGCTCCTGGGTGGACGCTTTCCCTTCAGACCTTAGAACATAACGGTTTTGAACACTGGGTTTTCGAGTCCAGCAAATAAAACTCTTGTCAACTCTCTGATCATGAGCAGATCACTAATTCTCTCTGGGTCTCAGTTTCCTCGACTGTGCCATGGGAACAATGTGGCTCCTCCTAGATTCCTGTGGAGTGCGTGAGGGGTTCCTTGCAAAGTGCTTGGCACTCATCACTCCCCAAGGTGTGGCTGCTGCTGGAGGCTACCTCAGCACATGGTGGGCCAGGGCTGGCTCCTCACCTTTCCCAGCCTCCTCCGTAAAGTGGAGGTCATAGCGGTACCTGCTTCATGTATTTGTTGTGAGGAACAAATAAGTTAATGTTTTTAAGTTGTCAGAATAGTGCCTGGCACTATAGTGAGTGCTCTGTCAGTGACGCATTGCTATTATTATTATTATTAGTCATATTTTTGGTTGGTCATGTGACTGTGGTACTTAATCTCAGCAAAGCTGATCTGGACAGGGCCAGTGGAGGTTTTGCCACTGGACACTATCCCACACATGTCCCTCCTGGATGTGTCTCTTTCTTTCCTTTTTTTTTTTTTTTTTAAGATTTATTTATTTATTTATTTGACAGAGAGAGATCACAAGTAGGCAGAGAGGCAGACAGAGAGAGAAGAGAGGAGGAAGCAG